TCGTCAGACGTGCGTCTTAATGTTCCAAAAAGAAGTGACTTTTTCATGTCGTGTGGCGTTGTGTGTTCGTTGAATGTTGTCACAGGGTTTTGATTTTGGTTTTTACAACACTTTGTCCTCACTGACAGAAATCAGCTTATTTGTGGAAACATGGAGGGAAAAAAAGTGGAGAGTTTCTATTTTGTGTGTGTGTGTGTGTGTGTGTGCTGCGGTCATGAGAGCGGAATTATTGTGTTTGGTGCGACATTTGTTTTGCATTTCGTGCAAAAATATTCTCCAAGAACGCTTTTTGTGGGCCTCTGTGTGGAGAAACAATAATGTGAAGCTGTGGATTTATTGCATGTTTGGTGCATGTATACATTGCAATAAATGTACTGACAAAGAACTGAGTTTGATATGAAATCGTGCAGCCCATATTTGTGCAACTTTGCAAAACGAAAAAGTTGCACAGATGCGTTATTATTATTTTTAATATCCTTATAATTTGGCCTGAAAAGTTTGAATTACTATTTAAAAAAATTAAAGTTAAAATAAATATGTTTTGTTTTCGTACTGGCAGCAAGAAAGTTAATTTCCCAAACATTTCAGCTTAGTTTTCTAGTGAGATTACAACTTCGAAACACAACAATTATTTTGGTTGTGAGCAGGAAAACACTTTTGTTACGTTTTTATTTTAATTTCGCAAAAATAACATAACTTTTGCATGATTTTTGAGACAAAAATAAGTTGAAAACGATCTTAGTCTCGACCATCAACATTTGTGTGCAGCATGTGTGCGCCTTGATTAAAAAMATGCAACATTTATGGCACAAAAAAGAAAATAATAAAAAAAAATTACATGCCCGTCATGAGGAAAGGATTTGACAATGATCCATGCGAACACAAAGGGGAAAAGACCTTTAACAGAATGTTTCCTTTGTTATTATAAAGTGATAACAATACAGCAAGTATTTGGAAATATTTTTGCCAAAGTTGGAACAAAGCGGATTACTTAAAGTCGACATCAGTCAAGGGAAAAACAGAACAAAAATAAGTGTGTAGCTGATAATTAGCGTTTTTGTGCCACTCACCACTTTAAACGTGGTAAAATATCGTGACCTGTGAGATAGAGATCAGTGTAAAAGGGCGACAATATTTCCTAAAAAGATTAAAGAAAACCCTCCTCTATAGTGGTTTCTAATCATYCGATTCTGCAGCAGAGAGATGCAGAGAGGAGGAGGGGGTAATCAGATAAAAATAGTTCCTGTTTGATGCCTCAGGCTGTTTATATCTTAACAAAGACTGCAGGACACAAGTGATCCTCCAAAACTCAATATTCAGGAAGAAAACTTTTGAAAAGATTTGCTTGGATCTGAAAGGGGTTCATGCAAAAAGAAAACTAATTTTTTAAACAAAAAGTGCAAATTTAACTTTTTATTATAACAAGTAACACAACTAATATATATTTTAAATGACGCTCTTTCCACACCAGATCTGAACTCTTCTTTTTATTGACATGTAAAATCACAGGCACCTCATAAAACATTTATTGATACATTATTGCTCTCCTTTGAATGGATGCAATCATTTTCACCACCGTCGTTTCCGCCTCCCCCAACTTGGAGAATTAAACCGAGCCTGTCATATATAGAAATCCACGCGCTTCCGTGCCAAATATTAACAAAGCTTCCACGGGGTTGTGCGCGGAAACGACGTCTGCTACTTTCCAGCGTGTTATTACATCTCTTTTACGAGGACTTTGTAAGTCTATAAAGCATTTAACAGGCAGTGAGGGCATCAGGACGATTATTATTAGACTTTTCTGCAAGACAKTAAGATACACAAAGTCTGCGAGTGGTTGAGGAAGAGAAATATTCTTTTCTCTATGAACTGTGGTCGAATCTTCATTTCAAGTTAGACGTGAAAAACATGGATTCCTTTCTGAAGAATGGCTCCATGTTTGCAGTCAGGCGCGGCTCTTTATCATTTCTAAAATGAAAAGCTAAATTAGAGCTGATGAAAAAGGGAGAACCCGAGCAGGATTGATTCACGGGCTGTATTGGTAAATATGATCACGTGACCCATGTAAACCAATCCCAGTAGAAGCAGGCCAGCTTAAAAAAAAGAATTGCTATGATTGTTCATAGAGGGGAAAGCTTCTGGTAACAGTGCGACCCGTATTATAGGAAGAGATGAAAAAATGTCTTCCACTGGTGCTCTCAGAAACTGCTATGTGGACTCCGTGATGGGTCAGGACCCGGAGGACGTGTTCGGAGCTCGGTTCATTCAGGCGCCGCATYCCATGGTGCCTCGGCCGCCCGGTGCCGCGGAAGGCGCAGACTTCTCCTCGTGCAATTTCGCTCCAAAGTCCTTCCCGTCGTCCTGGTCCGCGGTTCATCCTCAGGGGATCTACCATCCGTACGTCCACCATCACCACCAATCCCATCTGCCCGCCTCGGATGGCAGATATGTCGGCGTGCGCTCCTGGATGGACCCGATCTCGAACCACGTCCCGTTCGCCGGGTTCCACTCCGCCACCACGAACAGCAGCAGTGCCTCCTCCCGGCCGTACGGGACGAAGCCGGAGGTCCTGGCTAACGTCAAAGCCGCAGAGTGCGACCCGCCGGAGGCCGAGGCTCCGCCGCTGTCCGGGGACTGCGGAGGCTCGGAGTGTGCGGAGAAGGCGAGCTGCAAGGCGCACGGTGGTGGAAGTGAGCTTTCGAGTCAGTCCAAAGACGACAAACAACAACAACTTGACCCAAGTAAGTTAAAGAAATAGCCAGGCCTTGATTTACAACCCTGAGAACTGTATGAGCTGGGTGTGTAAAACCGAAGCTTTTACTAACCTATAAAAGTGTCTGGTGCTATACCAAGGCTGCGGAAGGAGGGGAAACCCGCCCTGCAGAGGTTACTGCAGGCTTTCTAGTGGGTTTTAAGTCACATATGTTGCATTATAACAGGAATATAAATACTTTACTAGATTTGATCCAGATTGATTACACTCTGTTAATCATTTGATCAAAATATTTTAATTTTTTACACGTTATTTGTTCTCTAAAGTCACCTAATGTCATAATAAATATTAACACAAAACACATGTTCTTTTAATTTTTTTTTTCAGACAATCCGGCAGCCAACTGGATCCACGCGCGCTCCACGAGAAAGAAGCGCTGCCCTTACACCAAATATCAGACTTTAGAGCTGGAGAAGGAGTTCCTCTATAACATGTATCTGACCAGAGACCGGCGCTACGAGGTCGCCCGCATCCTCAGTCTAACGGAGAGACAGGTCAAGATCTGGTTCCAGAACAGGAGGATGAAGATGAAGAAGATGAACAGAGAGAGGAGCGGCAGCGAGCAGCTTTAAAGTTGACTGCCGGGAGGCACTGCGCGTAATTTTTTAATCATTATTTTTATTTTTTTTTTGTTTATATCAAGGATATGAACATTTATTTTTTTATTTTTGGTTGGAACTTTCGTAGCTTTTGAATTTTATTTAGTTTTTGCTGAACTTTACGCACGAGCGTCACGATCCGTGGCCACATGGGCCACATATGAGGAATTTGTCTTAGTGAGATCCAGACAGTATCTGTCAAAAAAAGAAGGAAGAAATAACCCTTTAAACTATGTAAATAGCAATTTTTTATGTTGTTTTAAAATATGGAACTGGGACTTTTGCGCATAGCTTATAAACGCGCTTTTATAGTCTTAAAAAATTAGAGTAAAACATTTTCACAACAACTCTGGCTGCTGTTTATGTCGGAAAAATGTTCGACCACAGAGCTACAGGCATATATATAT